CGTCGCACCTTCCCCACCCCTCGCCGGCCATTCCCTCAACCCCCTCAAAAAAATTCCCTAATCCCGGCCATCCCCATGTCGCACCAGTCACCGCCCCTCCCTAACCCTTCGCCACCCCCTGAAACTACCTTCCCTCCCCGGAAAACCTTCCCCACACCCACGCATAGCCCTTGAAAACGCCACCCCCTCTCCTCGAAAATGCCACCCTGACCCTAGAAACCCTTCTAAATCGACCACCGTGTAGTTGGAGGGGTTAGGTCTGAGCGGTGAGGGGTTAGGGATGGGCGGCGAGGGGTAGGGATGGGGGTTAGGGTTCCGTCCAGCCACCACAACCTTCGAAAACGCGGTGAGGGTGTGTGGGTGTGGTGGTGGTGAATCTAGTGATTCCCACTGTTTTCTTACAACCAAACAACATACTATATTTGAGAGATTTTCATTCTATTCCATTTCATTCCCTTTGTTCATTTCATTCCGTTTACCCCGTGCAAACCAAACGACCCCTAAATTAAACCATTGAAAGGAATACCCTCAGCTTAAAACAATATCAACAATAAAAAAATATTATGAAAATTAAACTATTAAGGCCCTTAATTTTTTATTAATATGTTAATATTCAATTTACAATTTCAAATTTCACATTATACTACAATTCAAATTTCTTTTAAAAAACTTAAAACAAATAATAACTACAACGCTTAACAACCACGCATACACACCACAATATCCACACCCGGTACAATACCATTTTTGGGCGATCGTGCCAAAACAGAAATGGAAATGGATCCACAATATCCACAATTTCTCATTATGCTTTTGTTGTGTTGCAACAAATCTTTGATAGAATAAGGATCCACATGAAGAAAACAGAAATGGCAATGGATCAACGGAAGCTTTGCCTCCACCTACACCTCCTCCAGCAGAAATACCTCTTCGCTTGAGCCTTTTCTATCAATTTTGCTTCATTTGCGCTACTCATCAGATGAAGATAGTTATAAATCTGAATTTAAGAAAAAAGTGAGACTAGAAAGAAACCATTGTATACCATGCATTCTGATAACTAATCCAATTCAGTCTAGACTAACAAACTAATTAATCTAAACTTGTAGCATCACAACAATGGAAAGAACATCTAGTAGCCCCAACATTGTCTTCTGCTTCATTTTGCTTTACTTGTTGAGAAAATATTCTTCAAATTAGAATGCATCAGCCATCTCACCATATTAAAAGTTTAAATGGTATTAATGCATCATCCAATTTCATTTCACAAGATAGACTCACAATTTTCTTGCATCCTTTCTCAACAACATTATCATACAAAGACGTAGTCAATCCAATCTTTCTACACAGGTACATTATAAAAGTAGAGAAGAAGAAAATTTGATAACCAATATAACTTATCAACAATTACAATCCAATAATAACAACAACTTATCAAAAGTTATATAAAGAAAAACAATTGCATAAAAACAATAAAATCAACCAAAAAGAATCCATTTCACATCTAATTACTTATATACACATAGTTTCATTAACATATTTAAAACAAATTTTTAAAATGAAAAAAGAGTTATTTCAACTTCGATTCCTTAAAATAAAAACAAATTTAATCCAACCAATAACTATAACCAACAAAAATACACATTCCTTTTAAAAAAAAAAATTAATTGGTAAATATTCTAAACTCAAAAAAAAAAAAGAAAAAAATACACTAATAATAGTATTCACAATTCCTCTTACCAAAAGTTACTCTACATACATTTCTTTTCTTTTCTTATCTTATCTTTTTTTCAAAATATAACCTTTACTATAAAACGAATACTAAAGCAAGTACATATACAAAGTAACAACTATAGAAACAACAAGTTATGCCTATTACAGTGCGACACCTGTCACAGGTAACACGTGACCAATCACGTGCCACCTGTGAGGGGCAAATGATTTGATTAGGGGATTTTGCTCCCACCAATCGGAATGCGCCACGTGGACCAATCAGGTCCTGCCAAGTGTCCCCCAGTTGGAACAGTCAGGGCTTCCCACGTGGCACGCGCTTATTCGTCCACCTTGGACCTATTATGTCAAGACATGTGGCATACTCCATGCCTAATGGAGAAACCGGCCACCCAGGCCCAACTTCCGAGGGAAGCCCAATCGGCCCTAGGTTTACCTAAACCTAGGATGGGCACGTTTCCCAAGGTTATAAATACCTCCCTTAATCCTCATTAAGGAAAGTTACAAAAAAGAGAACAGAAACATTACGGAAAAAACACATTAATTACACACAGTAATAACCGGCTGATCTCGCTAACAAAGCAGATTACCTACATTAAACACTCTCACCTAGAGAGACCAAATCACTTTAATTTCCGCATTAATTACTCCTTAATCAGGTACTAACTTGACCGTTGGAGGCGGAGCTCACAGGAGTCTCCGTTATTTTGCAGGTACAGGCGTCCGGTTCCAGTCTCGGAATTGTAATTCTCCCGCAGGACATCAGAAAACCCCGAAACACTTATCGTAAATACTAACACAATAATCATGTCTAAAACTTATTAATAATCCTAATTATAATTTTCAACATACAACAATTTTATTTTTTTTTTAAAAAAAAACACCGAATACTAGCATACCCACACTTACGTGACAAAATATGCAAACCCGATAATATCATTTTGAGCTAACGCGCACGTTTGCTCAACTAGTAGTAGCAAAAGTGACATATAATTTTACCACTTGAGTTCGACAATCCCTTAATTCCTTGAAAAAATCATCAAACTCGTCTCTACTCCATGCACTTAGTTGTAGAGAAATATGGGCAATTTTTAGCAGATATCCTCTTTCTTCTACCATACACCCGAAATAATGTCACCTCAAGTCTCCCCCCTTAGCCACATTTCCTCGAAACAGTACATTTTCCCTTTTTTTTTTCTTCTTCTTCTAGTAACCTAAATATTTTCTTCATAAACAATAGATTGGAAGATGATTAGACTTTTGTTTCGAGAGGTGAGAAATAAAAGACCCAGGAAACAAGGTTCTCCATGCGTGATTTGCAAAAAATTGATCAAATCTTTCTTGTAAACTATGTTCCCCACCTCTGATCTATTGTTTGCCCACGTAAAATCGTGGCAATGTATCCCAGGTTCTCTAAGTACAAGTTCTCACTGCTTCACTTAAGAAATCAACTTCGTAAAAAATAAGCCCCTCCCTCCTTTCTTCTCACTCGACACCAACATTAAATTAAAATCTCCACCACATAACCATAATTTATAAATATTAGGGAAAAGGCACTCCATTAAAATGCCCGTTTTACACTTACTTTCTTCCGCAGGAAAGCCATATACACCCGTAAACCTCCATCTTCCATGCACCTCATCATTATTCACCTTCACATCTATATGATTAAGAGAAAAACTCTTCACCACAATATCCAGGCTATCCTTCCACATCAACGCCAATCCACCCCTTCTCTTCCTCTCTACTCCCTCACAGTTAACAGCTAACATGCAAATATTTTTATTTTTTATTTTTTCCATTTCATGAGATTTTAGTATAGTTTCCAAAAAAAAAAAGATCAATTGGGGATTCTCTAAAGTAACAATATTTTTTAACGCAATTACTGCAGAAGTACTCCCCAATCTCCTACAATACCATGATATGATGTAATTCATAAGTCACCGAGAGCCCGAAATGTGAGGCTCACCACGTTTTCCTTAACAAAATTCACCTTTTGCTTCTTACTGATTACTGAGCGGTTTTCCTTCCCTCCTACAACCTTCTCATTGTATTCTGTTAATTTGGATTTCTAAAATTCATGAAGTAAATCCTCCGCCATAGTCTTACAATCAGAGATTGAATGCTAATAGCGATTTGAAAACGACTAGAAACTAACTTTGTAACCCAAGAAAACCAAACCGTAAAACAAGGACTTACTAACCCTAGAGTGATGAACTTTACTCTTAAGTCTATTTAATTGTGATTATTTTTAATCAATGTATAATCATAATAATAATTTAGTCAAATTTGTGAATTTATAGTAAATTAACATAGTTAGGTGACTTCCTGTTTCAAACTGTCATGAGGTCTTTGTATTAGATTTGAATGATTTGCCTACCTTATAAAATTTCATCTATTTACATCAAAAAGAAAAACATAGTTAGGTGACTTCATGTTTCCTTCCTTACCTTTTAAAAAGCGTGAGAAAACACTTAGCAATAGTGTGAGAACAATTTTATCCCTAAAATGTTTGTTTACCTGTATGTCCCCATTCATATGATGTTAATTGCCTCTAACTTTTTCCTTGTGCATGTGTTTTAATTCTTTAACTCTAATGAATAGTGGTTGGACAATTGTACATAGTAAAATGTTTAAATTTTATTTGCCCCATTAATGTTATTTACTTTTTACTTTCAAAATCTTAAGAATAGTATGCAAACATTTATACCCCTAAAATATATTACGTAGTTTACATATTTTCCATCATGGCAACAACTAAAAGAGTTCTTCAAACATGGCTAATTAGGGAGCCCACATTGCACATGTTAGCCACCCTAATAATCTATTACTCTATAGTCTATATAGAGACTTTTATATTTCAATTACTTTTGTGTATCAATCAATAACATAATACTAAAATAGATACCAAGAATGACACGTGTCACTTCTTGGTGCTGTTTTTTTCCCTCCAAAACTTTTTCTTAAAAAAAAAAATTTTGTTATGATTGTGATTCACTTCCTTAAAAAAAATATTCACCAAATCATAAAATTGTGATTCACTTCCTAAAAAATTGTTAACATTTTTTCATATCTTTTTATTGAATAAAATATTATTTTATATTTTGGATGGAACCGGGAGGGGAGCTCTAATCACTTCAGCTGTCCTTCCTTTCATTTTATATATCCATATATGATAATACTTCATATGTAGTATTTTATACCTACCTTCAAATGTTCAATGTTCAATGCAATATATTTTGTATGGAGTATAGAGTAATTTTGTAACATATTAAACAATGATGTATATTGTTATTGTTGTTGCTGTTTACAAATATAGTATTGAATTTAGAATATTAGTGGAATTATCGTGCATGATACGAGACCTAATCTAATTAATTTAAAAATCCGAGCATGGCTCGCGTACAAAAAACAAAAAAAAAAAAAAAAACCACTTTGGCCTAAGAGTACATTTAGCCTTCCTAAACTACCACTTTTCAATATTCTTTTTCCAGCGTTGCAGAATCAGACGCCATCAGCCCACCTTTCCGACTTAGTCGTCTCTCCTGTTTCCCCCCTGTTTCTTAATTTCTGACTTAAGCTTAAAGAAACATGTAAGCCTTTTTCTCCAACAATTCTTCCCAAAATTGTTGTGACTTTCAGCAATGGTACTTCCTCTTGTAAAGCTTGGAACTCTTGCTTTAAAAACTGCTTGCAAACCCATTGCTAATCGTCTCAAGAAAGAGGCTAGTTTACACCCCAGATTCCGTCAAAATATCATCAATTTTGCTCAGGTAATTCCATCATATTTTTCTTTGTTTTCCAATTTCATTTGTAATTTTTTTTATTTTTTATTTTTTTATTTTTTATAATACCCACATTGTGATTTCCTGTATTCAACTTTGTGCGGCTATGTATGTTGTTATATTTGATTTTCGAGCTGATTTTTTCTTCATTTCACACTGTGACACTGATGATCAATCTATACTATGGTATTGTTTTCTTTTTTTTTGTTTATTTCTTAGAATTTAATTGTTGTTTTAAGAGGTATGATTGTTGTGTGAAATGGGGATTTGTAGATGATTTTTTCCTCCATTGAAGGAAGTAAGTGATTTATGAATGTGATTAATGGTTTTGTAGTCAATATTTCATATTGAGCTAACAAGGAATTAAGGGTGATTAGAATTGGAATATTCGGATTTCGCTTTCACCTATGGTATAAATGCTAATGGGAATATGGGCATAGAGATTTGAAGGGTCTGATGGTTGCAGAGCATTGCAGAATTATGCTCCTTTTTTCGGTTTTGGTAATTTTGATATTTATTGTCATGCTTATGGATTTTCTTGAATTGGAGAACGACACATCAGCTATTTTAGTGTTATTTGCCATATCTTTTGGATTAGGGACCTAAATTTACAAAAGAAAAAAAAAAGGGTTTAGAACCTTTACAATGGCGTAAACTGTTGTGTGTGTGTCTACCCAAATGCTTGCCCCTGCCATCACCTTCTCCTCTACCAATCACATTGGACTTGTGCTGCTACTATTAGCTAGTTGTTTACAACCTTTTCTATGCATAGTGATGATTGGGTCTTGGTCAATATAATATGAACATCATGTAGGTTCCATCGCTGCTATAACAATTTGTAAACCATGAAAACTTGTTAAAGGCTTAGGGTTTGGCAGCAAGAATGTTGAGTTGATGGAAAGGGTACATTAAGGATGGAGGGAGTACTTGACATTATGTAGCTACTAGCTGTCACCATGATACTGAGTGAAGTTAGGTGCTGTGCACGATTCAGAGTATTTTGCTCTTCTTTGCAAAGTGAAAACTTATACACCTCTAATTGCCCACTAACACTAGGATACATATCAATGAACTTTTCAGAATAGGAAATAGAGGGCCTATATTCCTATTTCTTCAATGCATTGCTGGACTATCATGGAGAAATCGATTTTAAATAATCGTATGACCTTTACTTCCCAGTTACTCATGTATCAGCATAGTCCTGTTATATTTAAATTTTGTTTATCTTGTACTGTTCTGTCAACTTGTAGGACTGCATATTTTCCTTATGTGCTCTGAGCCGACCTTTGGGGTTGCAGAAATAGCTTATTCTGATAGAAATTATATTGTGAATCCTTTGCAATTCATGGGGCCTTTTACACTGATAAACCCTTTGCCATTCTTTCTGAATTAATATGTTCTTCATATTGGCATCACTTCTTCTTTCATATCTACTTTCTGTTGTGAAAGTTTTATTTGTTGATTTTGTGTTTGTCATATTGCTTATCTTTTGCTTGACTCTCAATCTTGTTCAAGGTTGATGTATGGGATTGGAGAAGTTACTATAGTTAATTGACTTAAAAGTTAAAACAATGTAATGGGGTGATTCATCATTGTCGTCATCATCATCATACATGTAATATTACCCAACCCAATGTTTCTTAAAAGGCTACCACATAGGGCAAGGTCAGGGGTTCGGATGTGCACAATCTTGTCCTTGTGACCTAGAGATGTTATTAAATGTTACATGGGTACGTGTCCAAGTGTCCGACTCGGCTAATTTGTGAGAAATTTTCCTGATATTAAACTAAAAAATGAAGTGTTCAATACTCATGTCCGAGTGTCAAGGGTCTAACACGGGTATTTCAGGTGAAATGAAGAGTCCGAGTATTATAGGTTATTAATTAGGTCTTGACCCAAACTCCTATGACTGCTTACTGCTTCACTATAAATTAGAAGTTCATTTTGTTTAATTTGTTTCTTTTAAGAAATGTAGCAATCTCTATCTAGTGAGTTAATGTGTGTTTCTTTCAAAATGAAGAGTCTGAATAGCCTGATGTAACATATTGGTGTGAAAATCTTAACTCTCACCACATGTCTAACTTCATGACATAAAAATGTTAGTTTGTATATTTTGTAACTTCTAGATTGCTAATTACAACAAGTATGTTTGGATGAACCAGGTAAATCATCGAATTACAACACAGGTACAACGGCGCATTTATGGTCACCGAACTGATGTTGAGATTCGTCCTTTAAATGAAGAGAAAGCTGTCCAAGCTGCTGCTGATCTCATTGGAGAACTCTTTGTATTCACGGTAATCTTGTAGCAGAAATCCTTTTTCTTTCTTTCCCTTTTTCTTTGATATTTTTATCTTCTGCTTACGCATTATGCTGTTGATTTGTATTTACAGTTAAATGAAATAACTATGCATGTTTATGAGATGATAGGATGATTTGTAAGATATTGTAATGAAATCAGTTCAGCTCACAAACAAAAATGCACAAACAAGTAAATTTGAGGAAGAAGATTGAATCTTTGATTAAAGCACCAGCCAAAAGGTTCTTACAAATGGTGGGTTTAGCCCGCCACTCTCCTAGGGTAACTTTAGGTTACCAATCTCCACAAAAGATTACTCACAAATTGCCTACTTCCTCAATGTCTCTCTCCCTTTTTTTTATTTTTTATTTTATTTTTTTTAATTTTTTTTTATCTGTACAAGCAATTCCCTAAATGATTACTACTGGCTGCTGATTTTGTCTTAAGTGCTGCTCTCTTTCCCATCATTTGCTGTCATCTGTTCTGTGTTGATTGGGGTGGTGCATTTGGCTGCTCTGCTGTAGTCAGAGGTCTGTTAGTGATCCTCTTAGTGCGTTCCGTCCTCCTGGAGTAGGTGAGGACCACTAAAGGTCTCACAGGGTCTATTGCATCACCCCTGCCTAGAAGTCTCACCTTGTCCTCAAAGTGAAGGGAGGGAAAGCGATCATGCACCATTGTTGCTTCTTCCCAAGTTGCTTCAAACAGGGGCAAATTTTTCCACTTGATCAGAACTTCAGTCACCACCTCTCTGCCTTGTTTCTTCTTCCTTACTTCCAGGACCTCTTCTGGTTCAGATATTAATTCCAGCTCTGGGGTGAGTTGCTGAGGTATAGTTGGTGTGGTTGGAATGTTGGATGGCTTCCAACACACTTCTTCAATTGGGATACATGAAAGACTGGGTGTAACTGACGGTCGGGGGGTAGAGCAAGCTTATATGCTACCTTGCCTACACGCTGTACAACTGCAAATGGCCCATAGTACCTCGCAGCAAGTTTCTAAAAGCGTCTCTTAGCCAAGGTGTGCTGGCGATACGGTCTGATTTTCAAGTATACCTCCTCTCCAACCTGAAAATCTTCTTTCCTTATCAATTTGTCAGCGTAATTTTTCATTATTTGCTGAGCTCTCAGTAATTTCACGCGCAACTCATCAATCATGAAGTCTCGCTCTTGTAACCACTCATCCAAGCTCCCCACTGTCATCTGTCCTGCTCCCACCTTAATCAATTTTGGCAGGTCCCAACCATAGACCACCTTAAAAGGAGTCATCCCTGAAGAGATGTGAGGGGCGGTGTTGTAAGAGAATTCTGCCCAAGCTAACCAGGCAGCCCACTGCTTTGGTTTCTCCCCTGCAAAGCATCTTAAGTAGCTCTCTAAGACCTTGTTCACATTTTCAGTCTGACCATCCATTTGTGGATGGTAGGCTGTGCTTTTCTTCAACTCAGACCCTTGCAACTTGAACAGCTCATTCCAGAAGTGACTCACAAAAACCTTATCTCTGTCCGACACAATAGAAGAGGGAAACCCATGCAAACGCACCACTTCCTTCATGAAAACCTCCGCTACAATCATGGCATTAAAGGGATGTTTCAGCCCAATAAAGTGAGCGTATTTTGAGAGTCTATCCACAACTACCAACACTGTGTCAAAACCCTTCGACCTCTATGAAGTCTAATGATAAATCTTCCCAGATGGCTGTAGGCACAGGTAGAGGCTGCAAAAGCCCAGCAGGGTTTAATTGAGATGCTTTGTTCTGTTGGTAAGTCGCACATCTCCGCACATACTCTCCCACTCCCACCATCTTCCTCATACCTATCCAAAACCATTCCGACGCTAACCTCAGATATGTTTTTACCTCCCCTGAGTGCCCACCCATGGGTGTGGCATGATATTCCTTCAACAGAATCGCAATCCAGGCTGAATTCTTTGGAATCACCATTTGGCCTTTAAATAGGACTTGTCCATTTTCCCGGGCAAACCCGGTTTGCACCTCCTTCTCCTCTTGCAAATCTTCTTTCAACTGTCTCAGCCAGTCATCTTTCTCAATCTCTTTCTGCAATTCTACCCATTCCACCCACTGACTTGTAATCATTGCCCCCAACTCTACTGCGTCTGTTCCCTTCCTAGACAAGGCATCAGCCACTCTGTTGGCAGCCGTTTGAACTGAATCTCAAAGTCGTACCCCATTAGCTTGCGCACCCACTTCTGGTAATCAGCCCCTATCTCCCTATGTTGGGTTAAATATCGCAAGCTCTGATGCGTATGCACTATGAAGTTATGGCCCATTAAACAGTGCTTCCACCTCACGATCGCAAGACATATTGCCATAAGTTCTTTCTCATAAATGGACTTATCTTGGGCTTGACCCCGAGCAACTTGCTATAATAAGCAATGGGCCGCCCATTCTGCATCAACATCGCACCCAGCCCATACCCAGATGCATTCGTCTCTACAACAAATGGCTGCCTGAAATTTGGCATGGCTAGCACTGGAGCAGCTACCACAGCCCCTTTCAATCTCTCAAAGGCTTGCTTTGTCCACCCATAACTGTCTTTTCTAAGTCAGTAATTTTGGAATTTGTGCGTACCCAGCCACAAATTTCCGATAGTACTCTGTAAGACCCAAAATCCCCGTAGCTCCCTCAAACTCCTAGGGACTGGCCACTCAAGCATAGCCTTAATCTTCTCCATATCCACCGCTACACCCTCCTGAGAAATCACGTCACCCAAATAAGCCACCCTGTTTTTACCAAACTCGCACTTCTTCGTGTTTGTAAACAGCCTATGCTCTTCCAATTTCTCCATCACCAACTTCATATGTTCCACATGAGCCTCCACATTCTCATTGTAAACGAAGATGTCGTCATAAATACCAACACGAATTTTCTCAACGGCCACAACACGTCGTTCATTAGCGACTGAAATGTTGCCGGCGCGTTGGTCAAAGCGAAGGGCATTACTAGAAATTTGTAATGGCCCTCATGAGTTCGAAACACGGTTTAATGCGTATCTTTGGGCTTCACCAAAATCTGATGGTTCCCTGCCTTCAAGTCCAGTTTCGATAAAACAGTAGCTACAAACAGCTCATCCAAGAGCTCATCAATGATGGGTATCGGGTATGGTTTCTTTTTTAAGTGCTCAGTTACGCAGAAATGCCTCGACCCATCTTTCTTTTTCACCAACAATACAGGGATGGAAAATGGGCTTGTTAAAGGTTTGATTATCCCAGCCTTCAACATCTCTCTAATTAATTTTTCTAATTCATCCTTCTGAATTTGGGGGTACCTAAAGGGCCTCACACTCACTGGCGCACCTACCCTCCTTCAGATTAATGGCATGCTCGTGCCCCCTTTACGGTGGCAGCCCCTTTGGGGCCTCAAACACACCCTTAAACTCGGCCAGAACCTCCTTTATAAACTCCAGAAATCCCTCATCCTTGTGCTCTCTCTCCTCCTCTACCCTTCCTTCAACTCTGACAATCACCCCTCCTCTCTCTAGGGTTACTGCTTTAATCATGGCCCTAAGTGACCCTTGTGATCTCTTGAAGCTAGGATCCCCCTCTAAGGACACCGGCACTCCGAAATTTCATTACATGAGTGCGCCAATTCATCACCACCACTGACCCTAACTTCTCTAACCATTGCACCCCCAAAATAATATCATCATTACCCAAGGTAATAGGCAGAAAATCCTCTTTGATTTCCAATCCCTTGACTCCCTTACACACTCCTCTTCCCTTTATCATCTCACCATTCCCCAACGAAACTCCAAACTCTCCCGTACCAGACATTGTTAATTGCAGTTCCTCCACCTTCTACGTTGACACAAAAATGTGTTGCTGCGGGATCAACCATGACTATTACTCCTACCCGATTCACCGTACTCCTCAGCTTCATTGTGCGAGGATTAGAAATCCCAATGACCGAGCAAAGAGAGATTTCAGCCGGGGTTTCGATTGATCTCAGTCCTCCTTAGTTGGCCAACCCTTCTCACCCTGTATTGCAAGATCCATGGCTAGCTCCAGATTAAACGGGTTGAGCAACCGAGCAAGATCCATGGCTTGCTCCAGATTTAACGAGTTAAGCAACCAGACTTGACTTCCTCCTTTAACCCGTTTATAAAATGACCCAGCATTACCGTCTTCAATATATCTTCCAATGGTGCCGAAAGCTCGATGAACTTACGGCGATACTCCACAACAATGGTGGTTTGAGCCACCGTCAACCACTGCTCATGAAGTGAACCCGCATTGGCCGATCAGAATTGTTGGAGCCCTTCTTTTCAAGTCCTGCCACCCCGCCACCGGTCGTCGCCAATTCTCCCATTGGAACCAACGCAACACATCTCCTTCTAGCGATACCATTGCCGCGTGTAGGGCGTTAATTTCTCACCATCTCCCAAACGATAAAACTCGAAGTATTGCTCGCTTCTCAGGATCCACCCGTCTGGGTCGGTTCCATCAAAGAGAGGGGTATCAAGCTTCCGATACCTCCAGTTGGTTCCACATCCTCCGACACCGTCATTCACCATCCCTCCGGCGATTCATTCCTCCAGCTTCGTTCGCCTGTTGTCCTTGGCCACCCACCAAGGTTCGGATTTCCTCTAAACTTTTCCATTCTGTTCCTCTCCATATTTGCCTCTGTTTCGTGGGTGTTTCGGAACCTCTTCAAGGTGGTTGACAGCTTCCTCCACTTCCTTCTGAGTCTTCTCCTTCCCAGCATCCAGCGCCGTGAACAGCTGCTCGGCAAGGGTGCTCAGCAAGGGTCTTCTGAGCCGCTGCTACACCTTCGGCCACTGCCTGGGAAACCACTCTGCTAATTGACTCCTCTTGAGAAGTCAGCTTCCCTTCCACTCTGGCTAACTGCTGCTCCAGGGCTCTATACGGTGTGTGTTTGATTGCACCATGATCGTGGCTGCTGCACTGATACTACTTGTAATGGAATCAGTTCAGTTCACAAACAAAAATGCACAAACAAGTAAATTTGAGGAAGAAAGATTGAATCTTTGATTAAAGCACCAGCCAAAAGTTTCTTACAAACGGTGGGTTTAGCCCGCCACTCTCCAAGGGTAACTTTAGGTTACCAATGTCCACAAAAGATTACTCACAAATTTCCTACTTCCTCAATCTTACTCTCCCTTTTTTATATGTACAAGCAATTCCTAAATGATTACTGCTGGCTGCTGATTTTGTCTTATGTGCTGCCCTCTTTCCCATTATTTGCTGCCATCTGTTCTGTGTTGATTGGGGTGGGTGCATTTGGCTGCTCTGCTATTGTCAGAGGTCTGAGGTTTGTTGGTGATCCTCTTAGTGTGCTCCTTCAATCTGGAGTAGGTGAGGACCACTCGAGGTCTCACAGGGTCTATTGCAGATATATAAGTAAAGGTTTATGTATTTGTGTAATTTTTGTTAAATACTGATGCGGTGCAAGATTCCACTCATGCTGATGATTGTAATATCTACAACCATCGGTTTTTTTTTATTGGTTGTTGCCTGTTGTACCGCATATGGTGATGCTTTATAACTTTGACCATTAATGAAATTAAGGAATAAGCAGAGGTGGAGTGGTGGTCGCTATGAAGGTATGCATAAAGGTTGAGTGTTGGCGGTTTTGAGGTTGCACAGGGGGTTGTGTGGGTGGGGGTGGTTGTGGGGGAGGAGAGTGAAAATGGGCTGCTGTGCCCATGGTGGTATCTATAAAAGAAGGCAGTGACTGGGTTTGTTATTGGGAAGGGAAAAGTGAAGGGTGAGGGTAAAGTTCACATTTCAATATATAAAACTTACCCAAAGTAGACACGCATGTGAGAGTGAGGGATAGCTTAAGTGGTTAGAGCTTCCCTCCCGGTTCAAGAGATCCTGGGATCAATTCTCACCTCCGCCCTTGTGGCTCTCTAAACAAAAAAAAGTAGACACGCGTCATCTAAAGAGAAACTTCCCAAAAAGGAATACGTGTCAACTAACTTGAAGTGGAGGAAGTATGTAGGAAGGGTTTTTAAGCAATGAAATTATGATTATCAACTATAGCATGGATCCTTGTTATATTTATAATTATATCTACTTGCCCATTTGGGTAGCCCAACTATGCTTTATTAATTTCTTCCTTAAAAAAAAATAATTATATTTACTTCTTGGCTAGCTCATTTTTATGATCACCTTATAAATATCTAAGAATATGTATGGAACAAAAATAACATGAATGCATCCACTAATTTATGACCATCTTAACCATTCTAAACTGATATTTTATCTTTTTGATCTTGGGTGGATTCAGTTTAAATGTTTTTGTTTGCAGTTTACATGTGAATATATATTTAGTACTTTGCACCAAACCAACCACCAGCTCATTAGACTACTGGTCCTGTGTGTCACCATGAAAATTTCTTAACCTGTTAGTCTTATTTGCTGGTTTGCTTCTACACTTATTTCAGACCTTTGCTTGTTTGAAATCTTTAGTTGAAATGGCTACTCAATAGGGACAGGGATTACAACATCGTGATTCTATCCTTGACATGCGCAGTTAGAGTTTTCGATAAAGTATTAATGGCTTTAGAATATCCAATTATCTAGAAGGCCTGCTTCTAAAACGATGTTTGCAATCCTCATGGCAGTATGGATATAGCTAATTGCTTTTTTAAGCTATGTTTCATGCATATCTTCCATTAAGCTTTACTTGCACATCATGCAATGTGATGTACTATTTGACATCTTTATTTACATAATTAGGATGGTAGGAACACTAGAGACTACACTGTAATTTCACCACCCACACCTCATATTTGTGACTATTGTGAGTGTAACAAATTGTATTGGGCTGAGTAACACTAGTTTCAATAAGGCTGCTTTTAGCATTGGTGATTTGTGATCCTCTTGCCAATTTGAATAGCAACTTGCATATATGCAGGTTGCTGGAGTTGCTGTTATTTTTGAGGTGCAGAGAAGTGCTAAATCAGAAGCTAGGAAGGAAGAAGCACGTGCGCAGGAGTTCCAGGTACATCTCTTTAAAAGCAGTCAGTTTAAATGATAACGGAGTGTGTTTTTCTTGTTAAGTGCCACAATGTGGCCACAGAAGTTAATGCCAAAGCTCATAAATGATCTATTCGCTTTGCCATAGTAGGAACTTTGATGGTCATAAATGTAGTGTACAAACAATGACTCCATGCTTCATTATTGTCATTTATCATATATTGTTTTTAGTAATAGGCTGCTGAATGCACAACCTTTATAAAAAAACCCAATGTTCTAAAGGTACACTTTGATGTTAAATTTGTCATAGGTGAGGGCTTTGTTTTTTATTTGTTAGTTTTCAATATCCTTAGTAATCAATCAATCAATCAAAGCTTTAATCCCATAAGTGGGGCCGGCTACATGAACCAAAAATGATTATTCCATATAGTAAAAAAAAAAATTCCTCCACCCCTTACGATTAAATGCCTCTTTCTCATGCAAATCCATATACTTCATATCCTTCCGAACTCCTTCCAACCAAGTCATTTTCGGTCTTCCTCTTCCTTGTTTAACCCCTCCATGGTCCCACTCTTTCACTCTTCAGTTTTCGATATCCTTATGATGTTACAAATTCATTTTAATGTTCGAACACTACGAGAGGCGGGTTGAAAAGTAGACAAGGCCTTATAGCAAAAATAATACGGAATTTAACAAAAGCTATAAGGAAGACGAAGTGCAAGAGAATTTTTTACGTGGAACCTTCTTGTGCCCAACAAGAAGAAAGACCACGATTCACTCTTTATTTAAACTCAAACTCCACTAAATAGGGAAACACTTCAGTTACAACTTATTGGAACTCAGCCAAGCTTACCCCCACTGTTGGAATCACATTGTTCTCACTCTAGCTTCTACTCAAGACTTAACTCTAAATGTCACAAGAAAGGTTCACTCAAACTCTTCATCCTATATTAGACTTCACCTAATACCTATTCTTCATAGGAACTTGAGCTCACTGAATATGAGAGTTCACTTAGACCCGGATCAATCTCCCATTACAAGAGTTCACCCAAACCCTTATCCAACTCTAAAAAACATACACTTTGACAATTGAATTGACTTTAATATGTAGAAATAAGAAGAATAATGAACTACGTACTCTTAAGGACTTAGCTACATGAAATACAAAATTATTTCTCTAGAAATAAAATACTCTTCCACTTGGGTTCCGTTTGTTTCGACAGAAAACGTTATCTCTTGAATCAATTGTAATTTGTAAGGATAATTATCCTTTTTTTGTCTCCGTGCAAGAAAAATAATAAAGGAAGATGAAAATGAGAGTAATTGACAGAAGAAAATGAGAGTGGATGAGAGAAGAGGGATAGGAGAAGGGGAAATGATGTTAGAAGAAAGGTGGAAGATGTGGCATTCCTTCATTTCAAAAGGAAAATGTTTTCCACTCTTTGTGAAAACTTTTTTTCACCTTTAGGAAAAGTGTATTCCACCCATTACAAGCCAAACAATAGAAAATATGATAATCATTTCCTCAAAAAAATGTTTTTCGTCAAAACAAATGAAGCCTTAAGTCATAACTTTTTTATATGACTCCATAAAGCTAGATAATTTGGAGTGAACAAGAATGCATCCTTTAGTGCATCAGCATCCAACCCACTTTCCCATGATGCCCATAACAACTGTGTTTTTTAAATCAAGGGATAAGCCCAAGAACAAGTCTGTTGAAAAGTGTGGTATTATGGTCTTATGCATTGAGTTATTCTCAAAAATAATTTTTAGAAAAAATAGCTTTGTAAAAGTAAAATAAGATATCTTGTGAAAACAAAATCCTTGAGAAAAAGATAATTTTTGTAAAATAGAACCAAGATATATGTTTTCCAAAACTTAATCTTTTATCTTATTTTTCCATGTGAAAAACACACCTTTATTTTTGTAAAATTTGTTTTTTCGAAATTAATATTGTAAGAATTTCTATAATAAGGACACTAATAAAATAGAAAAAAAAAAAAAATTGTTTTATATTATTAGACCACATTCTGTTCCATCAAGTTCCGTTTAGCACTTTTATTCCATAATCCTTCAGGTTCTACATACATACATGAATACTAGAAAATAAACTCTTAATTTTTGTCTTTATGCTCCATGCTCCTTTGCATGTTGTTTGTTCCACCTCTTCTCTATCACTCATCCGAAGTCCAACTACATATCCATACAATTAACTTCTTCTCTTTGGAGTTCCCCCTCAAGAACTTCACTTATAGTTTTTGTACTCATCTTCATGCTTTATCAGGATCAATTTTTTATGACTTGTTCATTGTAATATAATATGCACATCTCAACGTACAAGTTAATAATATTAGCTCAACCCTTATTTAGTTTATAATCTCAAATGACTCAAAACCATATTAGCTCAGTAGTTCCATTCCACTTAAATTCATGAACTTAGGTATTTCCTTTAAAATATGAGTAAAATAAATGGATAAACTAATGCCTCTCAATAGGTGCCTACTAAGGTGGTTTTATCATTGGGGTTAAAGATATTATCTTTTATAAACTATTGGAATGATTGATTTTCAATAAACAAGCATAATATACGAGTATTTTTCTAAGATAGGCTTATATCTTTGATTTGCCTCATTTCTCATTTTAGTTTGTCCCACATAGATTGCTCCATTTTAATTTTGGTAGTTGGTCTCCTCCATATATCCCAATTGAATAAACTCAAATAGTGTAAAAAGACAAAGGCACCCCATCACCTTGCAAAACTTTTTGCTTAAGTCTTAATAAAGTGAAAATTGGGGGATAGGGCAAACATTTAAGGTCAGAGGGAATATTATATTTCTAATTAGGTGTTGGTTATCATAGTTTCCTACAAATGGAACATAAGAAGTGGATACAATTTAGATTGTCTTTTTATGATGCTGCAAATGCAATTAGACTGAAATTGGAAGAATATTTGGGATGAAATATTAACAGGTGAGTGGCTAAAGCATGAAAGAATTTCGTACCTAACACCGTGGTGCCCAAAGGAATGTTCCTTACAATTCAATGAACAAGACTAGTATTAATGCTTTTTCATATTTTAGGAATTGTCATTGTTACAAGGAAATATCTAATTTCTAATCCAAGAAAGATTGTTCATGAGAATATTTTGAAATAGGGGGAGATGGAATGTGTATCGTGACAACTAATAAATTCTTAGGTAATAAATACAACAAATCTAGTGAATTTTAGGGAAATGGCAAAACAGTACAAAGATACCCACTGCTTATAGTTCAGAGCCTTTTCCAAGGTTACACAAACAGTTGACTGGACACTATGATCTAGAGAAAAAACATTCCAAAAATAACTAACATTTGACCCAATCCCACTATCAATACACTTATCACTTGAATAGTTCTTTTTCCTTGGGCGTTTGGTGCAATCTAAGAAGAAGGCTTTCCTCTTCATGCCATGCAACAAAATTCAGAATTAGAACAGAAAATTCCTGCTGCATCTTTCCCTCACGCTGACCTTCTGATGGGTCTCTTTCAATGACTGTGTGAAGTAGTTCTCGTCCTTGCACTGGGTACCTTCATTTTGGTCTCCTGATAGAGGTGAATCCATGAATGAACACTGCATTTTTTGGACTTAAGGGGAACAGAGGACCTCTTTTTCTGAAGACTTTCCTTAGAATTTGAACCTAAGGGGAACAGAGGACCTACTGATTCACATGTGATGCAATCCAATCCAATCCAGAATTTGAACCTGCATTTACTTCTCTCCATTTCTCTGTAGAACTCATAGGTGACCCTTGAGCCTGTGAGCTTTGAGAGACTTCTTATGAAGAATCAGAATTTGCAATTCTCTCAATTTGCTTTTACAATCTTCCCCTGGCGACTCCTTCGTAGCATTAATAACTTGAATTTCATGGTTGACCCATCTTTGGGTTGTAATAGATAACAGATTTCCTTTTGACAACCAGATGATAAACTTTCTTCGGAATCATCATAATGGAACCCTGCCCTCTTTTGTTATAAATCCATTACTTCTTTGTGATCAAAGGTCTTCGTTGAACACAAACTCCTAAAACTAGTACCCACATCACATGAGTGTAAGAGACTAAGATTTTTTTGAAGTCTGACTTCATTTGAATTAAGTACTTCTATCACAAATTGTCTGCACATTAGCATCTTTTATGATAATATTTGAATCTTTATTGGATAAGCCTTCTTGCCCTTCACCAATTTGATTTGATTCCCTTTTTGGTGGTGGTAACCCAAATCCAAGACCAACTGGGACGTGTATTGAGTCATTCTCCCAATTCAACATCCCTTGGACTGTGAAGTGGTACTCCCATTATGCACGTCACATACTCCGGACATGCAACTCAGTTTTGTAAAATTAACACTCCTAGAAGGAGAAGCCATGACTACATAAGATATAACTCTCTTCCTTTTTCTATCCTCCTTTGGAAAAAGCGACTCCCCAGCACTTTCCTTTAATAGATACAAAAATCAGCTACTTTTCAATAATATTTAACATTCTAACTCTTGCAGTACACTTAGGATGTAATTTAGGATGTAGTTGAGCTGCTTTGACTAAAGCATGCCTAACTTCAAAAAAACCACTTGTCTCCATAGAAGATATTGCCTTTCTGTATAGGGATTTGAAATTTGATGGATCCAAATTCAACAAAAAAGAGCATTAATCTTTAAGAGAACTTATTGAGCTTAAATGCACTTAATGCAAGATAAAGCTGCAGGGATATGGTAAATTCAAAAATACAAAGCTTTTTCGTCTCTACACAAAAAGTTACGGCTTTACAATTAACTTCCTTGAATTAAAGCAGACAGTAAATACCTTACAATTAATAATTAGAAGAAGAAAAGGCAGCTCCAAGATACCGCAATCTGGCTTTCTGGTGACCAGAGGAGCTGGAGTGACTGTGAGAAGCTGAAAGAGGGTAGGGTTGAAATGGTTCTCTCTCTCTCTATCTCTCTCTCTCTCTCTCTCTCTCTCTAGAAAACACATTCTTTTTGCCCATACTTGCACACACAAATGAGGGCTATTACTAAGTCAATATGGTACACATTTTCATAAAAAAGGAAAATCTCGAAAAAGAAGTGATTATGGAAATTGGAAGAACGTGGCTGCAGAATCAGTTCCAAATTTCCAATACCTCAAGGAATGGGGTCATGAACTCCTGACTCAACAGTTAGATAAAGGGACATGGATGGTGTATTGATGTGTATTTAAATAATTTAGAACAACCATATATGATAATAGCACCTCTAAAAATCACAATGATGATTTGGTGACCTTTAATATTTAAAAAGATACTGAGGAATTCAACTAGATAGATAAAGTGAGGAGCAGTCAGGTAAAACTTTCCAACATAGATTACTGATGTTATTATGCCTGAGAAATCTGAGAATAACAATTTATATGCTGGCCTTGATTTTCTGTTAGTCACTATATTACAGGTGACTAAGAATGTCAAAGTCTGGTTTTACAGAGTATGAAAGATGAGGAGCAACAGTCCTACCAGGGCTACCACTAACCACACAAGTCAATAGGGGCAGTTATTTGAATACATAAACCAAACCTTGGGTAACTTAAAACAACTTATTTCAAATGTTGCGGGCTTTACTAAACTCCCTTTGAAGATCACAGTCTGTAGATATTTTCTTTACATCAGTCTCATGCTCTAAAGAACTTATTCAGAAAAAGGACATAAAAAGTAATGAGAAAAGAAGCAAAAGCAACTTGCAGAAAGAAGAAATTTAGGAAAGATGGGTTTTTATTAATACTAGCAGATACAATTCATTAAGCTAGCTTTATCCAATACAAGTATTCAGTACAATTTTCTTAATGCCCTCCTCTCTCTTCCCTTCTATTTTACAATTTCTTATCCTAGATTGGCTAGATATCTACTGATTGCCCATATTTTCCCCTGCCTTCCTCCTGAAACAATCAAGCATAACAAAACTCCCCATTCCCAAAAAGATGTAAGCTGAAGCACCTGTATTGCCAAATATACCCTCTTCCTTTTTCCTGTGAAGTGCACAGGTGATCCATTTGGTGGGTGCATAACATTCATCTCCAATAATTGCGAGACACAAATATGAGTTGAAGCTAGGAAGAAGGTGAAGTCTTTAAGCCCTGGGTTATTATAAGATTTCGCTATAATTTAAATATGTTTTTAATGGTGAAGATTTAGAACTTTAAATTTAATTCCAGACATTTTTGATGATGCGCCAATAGGAGGATAATCAGAAGGATTTAGTCTCTGAGGAGTTGAATTAAAACAAAGTGTGTTTAGGAATACTTAATGTTTAGCGTATCTTTTGTACGTAGTATAGTGCTTTGACTTTTGTGGTGAAAGCCTGATGCAGTTCTCTGATTGGTTGTAGATATTTTGTATTCGATCACGAAAGGCAGATGATAGTGACAAGTTACTAGGAAGACGTGGCTTGTGTTATACTTGTAGAAACGTAGAATGCTTAATCAAGTCACTAATATAATGTAGTTTATTGTTTCCATATAAGGATTTCTGAGATGTAAAAATCATAGTCCCTATGCCCAAGCTTGTGATGTTATTCTAGCATCATTCTATCTGAATGTTATTGTTCATATTCCCGCGTCAATGTGCACTTTAGAGCTGGATTGCTGGATGATTTCAAAAAACCAGTTGAATTTGTCATATTTCTTGTTTTTTGAAAATTTTCAGGGTCGTTTTATGTGATTGTATTTTGTTCAACTTCAATTGAATAATGAGAAGATTGAAAACACTCACTTGATCTTGTATTTATGTCTTACTAGTCAGAGTCAACATTGTTCTTCTTGTTGAATTTCCCCAAGCATCTAGTTAATAATAGGCATTAAGTGCAATTGCCAAATTGCTATTTTCATTTATGTAATAAATTTATCATCAAAGATTATTATTTACTTCATTTTTTAAAGTGTTACTTTTTGCTATTCTCCCTTCTGATTCATCTTGAAACTCGAATTTTCCTTTGATCCTTATTGGCCTGATTAATCTTCTCTATCCATAGCACTGGAATAAAACTAGTTTGGACATAGTTTCCTGTATACATCAACAGTAATAGCTTGTTGTACATACACAAGTATGGTACACAAATTGGGTAGCAGATTAATCTTTGCTGTCTCTATTCATTAACTAATGATCACCTGCTACCCAACTATTGAAATTATAAATATGGTACACAAATTGCATGTCAAAATATAGTGTCTTGCTCCCTCTTTTTTTTTCTTTCCTCAATCTGCTTCTTGGTGAACAATTTTACAATTCCATTTTTGCTTCTTTTAGGCATTGAGACAGCGAGATGAGGATTTGACTAGAGAAATTGAGGCTCTTAAACAAAGATTTGAAGAGATAGAAAAACTGGCGAAAGAACAAGGAAAAAGTGGAATTTTCAGCATCCGCAAACAGCCACCTGTAGCACAGGATCCAAAATAGTCTGACTGACCATGCAGATACTTATTTTAATTAATCATGGTAAGGATTACGTTTGTCAATCGTACATTTATGTATTTCATCGTATCCTTTCTGAGCATAACTTTAGCTTAGGCTCTCGGCTCTCTATCTTATTGATGTTAGAATGAAACATATTCAAAATCAAGTATATGTACAAGCTGATTTATTGCAATATGATTCTCACTCTTGTTTTATTCCTTGATTATCCTTCTCATTTCTAACCTTGATGCTTTATTCATGGCAGAATATCTGACAGATGTGAAAAGTGTTCAGCCAATCTAGAATCTATACAGTCCACAATTGCGGACAGAAAAATCTCAAAACATTTTGTCTAAAATAATTCATTGTACCTGTAAACTAATTCATATGATAAAATGTTGTTTGTAAACAGGCTTATATACTAGATTTTGTAATTCATATCCATGTTGGCTTGTTTATACCAACATCTTCCTGAGTTCCTGGTGGCAATCCTTAAGTAGTTAAATATATATGGTTTCTGCATTTTTTTCTAAAATTATTGTGAGGAGATGCCTGTCTGTTGGCAGTGGTTTTTGAAGAATTGATTTCTTTGATATATGATTTCAGCCTTGCTAGGAAAGACAGCTTTAAGCGCTAATAACTTTCCTAACTTCTTGTCTCTTAATTGTATGAATGTAAGCTTGGTTGCTCTGCTTCGACTGCAGTTGCAGAGTGGAGTCAATTTCACATCTGGACTTCTGGAGGATTTTAAGGGCCTTACACATAGAGTTTACGTTTTAGCAATGGTTAGTTGTTGGGACATTTAAGATATCAAGAAATTAGGTTGGTGAGAGAAATAAGTGCTGACTAACCTTCTTGATAGCCGGTTGCGTGATGCGTATCTAGAGCCAACACAAAACTGGTTTTGTAGGTGTTACGACAATTTTTAAGCCTACAAAATCTGGCTTTGCAGATTAGTGATATGTAGCCAACATTTTGTTAGATAGGTGAAGGTTATGTTATGATAGTCTTTTTTCAAAATCAAATCAATAATCTAATATATCATCATATAAATAAAGAATACATTTTTCGGGAGCATTCGGCACGCCACATAAACAAATGTATTATTTCGACCAATTAAAAATTAAATTTGTATTTTATTTTAAAGTTAAAAAATTTACACGCCACCTAAGCAAAAGTGACAAACGATATTTCAGAATTTCCTCATGTAGATAAATACAACGAATAGTAATTTTTTAAGATTTAAATTATTTAAAAAACTAAAAGTTATCTTTTTTTTTTTGATAGAAATTAAATTATATTTAGATTTTAGGATTTAAATTATACATTAAATTAAAGAACTAAAAAAATAAATGATAGAGGTAAAAAAAAATGTTCTATTGAATTAAATAAAATATATTTTAAAGTATATTAAAATTATTCTTTCAAAAAATTTTAAAGTATATTAAAATTATTCTTTCAAAAAAAAAAATATTAAACTTATTTTGTTTTCAACTAAAACCACGTTCATTTTTTTTTTTTAAAAAAAAAACGAAAATCACGTTCATTTAGAAAAACTCAATTTTGGATCAAATAAAAATAAAAATAAAAATGTACTTCGTATTAAACTGGATTTAAATTATACATTAAATTAAAGAACTAAAAAATAAATGATAAAGGTAATCAAAAGGTTCTTTTGGATTAGTATTTTTTCATAAAAACTTACTGTATATTGTTTTCAACTAAAACTATGCTTTTTTTTATGTTTTTTTTTTTAAAAAAAAAAAAAAACTAAAACCACGTTCATTTAGAAAAACTCAGTTTTGAATTAAATATAAAATATATTTTGTATTAAACTAACTAATATCCTTTCTTTTTAAATTTTATCTTGAAAAAAAAAAATCTATCCGCTCATCATTTATCATTTATTGAATGAAAAGATTAAACACTACATTAACAAAATTTTCATATTAAAGATAATCATATCTAATGATAAAACTTTATCACCACTATAAATTAAGCATTTTTTCTATCCTATATAATAAACCCATCTAATGTCCCACACAAATAAACGTATAACTTTTATAGACAAATAAACTTATTTTATTGGTTAAACATCTTGAATGCGATGAACGGTGATCAGATCAATTTAATCATTAATTTTGCAAGGGGCGGGATTAAATATGCTACTCATCGGCACAATTAGCAATTGATTTACAAAGGATCGTGGAAGGTCATTCATTTTAATCGTGTACACAATTTGAAAAAAGCTAGCTTCACGTAGTTTATTTTCTTTCTAATTTTTCTTCAAGAATTGGTTTATTTTGTTGTTTAAACGAAAATGTTACAAAATATATAGTGTTTATATATGTGTGAATTTTAATTGTATAAGATTAGAAAAATTAGTAGTATTTTGTATTAATATTTGTTATTACGATTTTATATTAAATGTTAAATTTAATCTATACTATATATTAAAAGGCGTTCCTAATTAAGGATACACGCCACGTGTCACCCTCCATTCCACCAATTGGATACCACATCATCCAATTAGAAACCAACAATATGCGAGGTCACCAAGTTAGAAATATAAATAGTACACGTCAATTAAAAAATGTTTGTGGCAAGTATTGAACTTGGGTCAATTGAAAAATGAATAAGAAGTCATACCATATAACTATCTAATAATGTTGTTTACTTATTCTTCTTAAATATACTTAATGTAGACCATGACAGTGTATTTATTTTTAATTTTACAATTGCTTCTTGTTAAGTGGTAAGGAGTACTCCGTACTATATATTAACTAGAACACAAAGTGTTTTCTTAGATTAAATCTAAACTAAAAAGATGTACTTAAGATTATTATGTACATCAAAAAATAAAATTAAAAGTGAAATTCATTTACATAAAATATAACACATGAAAACTATAATACAATAATATTTAAAGTATCGGTCCGGGACATCGCTCGGGCTAAATACTAGTTATTAATAAAGACCCGTGCATCGCACGCGCTTATATCTAGTTTAATACAAAAAGCAAAACCAGTGATGACACATGTCATCAACTTTGTCTTTCCCTTTTTTTTCTCAATACTTCATGAATAGTATTTATAGCCTATAATATTTCCTTTTATTTGGGCGATTATATATGTTTTTCCATATTATTATTATTATTATTATTATTATTAAAATTATTATTATTATTATTATTATTATCATTATTATCATTATCATTATTATTATTATTATTATCCTCACCTTACTTTTAATTATAATAAAAACCTACTACTCACTTATGTTTAAAATTTTGATTCTATATATAGAAAAGTAAAATAAAAGTTAATTAATTTTGCATAAACCAATGTCTATATTGAATCGTGTCAACAAAATAGGGACATGATAGTTTATGTATAGCATGGGTTCTAAATAATCAATTGTCCCTATATATTTTTTTATTTTTGTATTTATAAAGTCTAACACATAACTAGATTTTCATCATTTTGTCAAAAATAAAAAATAAATAATAAAAAAAACCTTGATGTCTATATAGGTAAATAAATAAATTAAATTTGTTTTACTTAGTTTATAAATGTGATTTTTTTTTTCTTAGTATAGAGTAATTGCTAAGTCCCGCTGTGTGCGTACCTCGTTCTTCTTCCTCGTGCAAGTGAGTTGTTAAAAACCAATTAGATGCAAGAAAAATAGAGAGAATTAATATTGCAGTTTGTTATATAATTTAGTAAAACTCATGCATTGCATGGGACTTTAGCTAGTCCTACTTTACGAGCCTATGTACTAGCTCTTGGAGGATGTTCAAGAGTGAGGCTCCAAATGACCAATTAATGAGAGTTGTGAATTCATTCCATGTGAGCAAATATATTGAGGATAATATTTTAATATGCATATATAGTACCTTGGCAATTTAGAAAATGTCTTGGTTGACATTCAACGTGTCGTGCGCCTAGGGGAGGATTTTCATTGGGGCTCATAGCTGTCCGCCCCCTATAGTTTTTGTAACAGTTATTAGACGCGTGTGATAAAAATAATATGCCAAGTGACAGATCCAACAACTTTTTCAAGTGGGTTTAAGTAAATGAAAAATAAAATTTAATCTAACATAGATACTTTTACTACTTAATTAAAAAAAATTAATACTTATATTTATTTTTATTGAGACCTTAAATTTTTACGCTCGAACCATAACATTATAAATTTATTTCGTAACTCACAATTTATCAACTACAAATCCAAAATGGTACGTATTTTTAAATTATATTATTTTTGTACATATAGTGTATATGTATCTTAATATGTTGTTTGCATCTATTAGCCCATATAAGTTTGTATAAATTAAATTTTTTAAAATCAAATTCGCATATTGTTTCCTTACAGTGATTAATTATTGAATTATCATATGTTAAATGTATGTTTGTAACAAGGTTTTATAAAAGTTAAATAGGGTTGATTGACTTTATTGCCTTAAAATTGATTTCGACATATTATTGTTTTATTGTTAATAGTTATCTATTATTTTAATTAGAAGTTATTAAAGTTCAAAACCTAACCCCCCATACTTTTTAGTCTAAGATCCGCCATTGCAAATTAGTAAGAAATCTTAATGCTTTAAAAAATGTAGCACAAACAAGTTAGAGAGAAGAGACCTTACATCATCGAACTACAGAGAGCACAAGATCAAGGTCATTACCAATTAATAGCACTTGAATAGGTTTGTCTTTGGAGATCACTCATGCGCAGCAACAATAGTTTAGAAAAAAAAAGATGAATATTTATCTAAGTCATGTTTGTTAATACTTACAAAAAAAAATGTTATTCTAATTTGTGCTTCGTATTAGATTTAATTTTCCTTAAATTATCTTCAATCAACTTTTTGGTAATTAGTTGATTGTAATGATATTTCCATATAGTATATTAAAATATAATACTTCATACATTTTAAAGGGAGTGTTTTAAATTGCTAGCATCAATAGCTATGTCTACTATAACCACTATGTGCTAATAGTTAATTCTAACACAATTAAACTAATAGGGTATAAGAGAGATTAAAATATAACAAGTCCAACAAACCATGTTAGGTTATTTGTCTTAGGGTAGTGGCTCTTTTGAATCCATTTAGCCATTATCTCAATCTCCTCTTCTCTTTGATTCTTTAACCATTTTAGATCTTTTGGTTTTGTGCCATCATAATCCAAACAGTAATACCCTTTGGACAAAAAACACAACAAAAAGAGTAAATAAATGACCATATTGATTAAACTCCTATACTAAAATTTAAATTTTCAAAACAGATCACACCTTGTTCAGTTATTATTGCCACTAATGTATCTGAGATGTCTTCCAACACCCTATTAGGCCTATTGGATCTACCCAAAAAAATTATGAGACAGACAAATAAAGATCACATATCAATCTACTTGTACTTTATATATGATAATAATCGATATTAAATTTACCCGAAAGGACTGAATGGATCCATAAG